CCGACACCACCACCTCACGTGGCTCCGGATAGGGTCCCTACGCGGCCCACACTGGTGACGTCCGCCAAACCGCGCGTGTTAAGCAATGTCCCGTGCTCCATAAATATTAAAATGATTGCCAAGTATTTCTCGTCTTATCAATCGTTTCCCTTCCTGCACCTCCAACCACGAGAGCGTAGATAGAGTGAACCGCATGATGATACGCCCTTAGCAGAGATCTGAGTTATCTCGACACACGCTGGGCATTCCCAAGGGATCTGATGCTTCCTCTAAACTCTCTAATTATTTAGACACCGGAGGTACAAGAAGGCCGCGATAAACCTTCAAATAATAATATTATGCCCGATAGACATTGTGCCGAATTAAGAAGGCACTGGTGACAGCAACCTGCCCGCGGCAAAAACAGCCGAACTCAGATCAGCTGAAGCCAAGGCTTCGCCCCGCGCGCCCCGCTCCGCGCTCGCGCTCCACCGACCCAGTCGCGTCTCTCGCATCGACAACAAACGCGAATTCGGACGTGACAATTTAGCTATTTCTGAAATGTCTAGCTTTTCTTTTTTTCGAGAGTTGGCAACACTGGTCCGAATCAGGCGTTCATGCTCAATGCGTCGCGCAATTGTATCGTGTGCAAAACTAGTCGACACCCGCTGTATTTACATGCAAAATTTAAGTTACTGCCCGTGCTAAAGCGCATCGAAGCGATAAAAGGCGCAAAACTTTGTTACAATTGTTTGCGCTCCCATCGGGTCAGCGTGTGCAAATTTTCGAACTGCACGATTTGCCAGAAGAGTCATAACACACTTCTGCACGTTGATGATTATCCGAAGGTGAGCGCATCTAACACGACGAAACCAGAATCGGTCCAAACGGAATGATCATTCATGACGATCGACACACGAACGACGACGAGCCTCGCTACATTACACCTTTCTTCGCCGCAGCTGTATACATCCGATGACGAGCGCGCTTGTATACATCCGCGATAACAGGCATAGACTAATTAAGTGCCGCGCGCTATTAGATACGGGCGCTACGGCGAATTTTATATCCGAGTCAATTGCGAAATATCTAAACGTACGCATGGATACATATTCTTTATCGATCAGTGCAATTAATGGGATGAGCACTGAGTCAAAAGTTTAGGTAAAAATACGTTCCATTTATAATAATTTCTACTAAGATTTAACGTGCCTGACGGTTCCGGCGATCGCTGATCTAGTTCCATCCGAAGTTTTTCCACGCGACTCGATCAAAATTCCGCCGAATGTGAAATTAGCGGATCCGGAATTTCATTTACCACCGATATATTAATTGTTCTGTAGCGACAGTATCATTGTTCATGGTCGGTTAAATCGACCTATCGCGAAAGGGTTACGAGATGTATCTACAAAAAACACGACTAGGATAGATTGGCTGCGTTCAGCAGACTCAACAGTTTTGCAACCGTTTTATGATTGTCTGCTGAGATAGGACCATTCTTCTAGATCTAAAAGTATGATCCAATTAGCGCGAAGGAAACTTCCAACAGTTGCAAAACAACCATTCTGCTGAACGCAGCCATTGTTGCCAGTGGCGCGTCATCACGTAGTCTATCGAAGGTCTCGGCGTACCATACAACAAGTTTAGAAGATTTAATGCTCAAGTTTTAGACGATTGAAGAGGTCACGACGGATAAATTATTATCTGAAGAAGAATGTGAACACGAAGCGCATTTCCTAGAAACGGTTTCGCGCGGCAATGACGGCTGCTACACGGTTCGCCTACCGTTCTGTAATACAAAAAATCGTTTAGGTGAATCACGCAGCATCGCGCTTAAACGCTTATTATCCTTGGAGCGCAGATTAAACACGAATGTGACATTAAAGGCGAAATACAATAAAGTGATAGATGAATACTTAAAATTAAATCATATGTCGGTGGTAAAAGATCATGACGAAGACAGTTACTATTTACCTCATCATGCGGTAATCAAAGAAGCGAATGACACTACGAAAATGCGAATTGTATTTGACGCGTCGGCAAAAATAAGTAACGGGACATCTTTAAATGATTTACTAATGATAGGCCCCACGATCCAATCCGGCTTAATTGCGCACTTAATTCGGTTCCGCACGTACAGCTATGTCGTCACGGCGGACATTGAAAAAATGTATCGACAAGTAACATTACACGAAGATGATCGACGATATAAAAAAATCTTGTGGCGTCGTGACGACAGAGTGGAGACGTTTCAATTAAATACGCTCATCTTCGGCGTTTCCTCTTCGCCATTTTTAGCGATCCGGACTGTTCAAAAACTCGCAGACGACGAATGGCTTACATATCCGAGGGCAGCCAGAATTATTAAATCACATATGTACATAGACGACTTACTGACTGGGGCCGAAACTGTCGATGAGGCTCGAGCCATTAGAAACGAAGTAATCGCGTTGTTAGCTCGGGGCGGTTTCGTCACTCGGCAATTTAATGACGAACGCATCGTGAAAGATTTGACGGCCAGTGCGTTACGCACTAATTTCGTGTTAAACGTAAATCGAATATTAAAGATGCTCGATATCATGTGGAGCACTCGCGACCAAATACGTTACTCGACTAATCCGATTAGAAGTTCTGAGAAATTAACGAAAAGAATTATTTTATCAGAAATTGCCAAAATTTTTGACCCTCTCGGCTTACTAGGACCGATAATCATGTACACAAAAAGATTAATACAAGACGTATGGCGATGTGCATTACACTGGGATGAATCAATCCCGCAGAATATACGTACGGAATGGTCAACATTTACGAAACAGTAGGATTCGATGAACATAATTTCGCTTGATCGCAAACTAGGGGAGACCGGGGATAGTAGACTCATTTTTCAGTTTCGAATTTTTACAGACGAAATTAAGACTTATCGAAAAAATGAATTCTACGCCAGTTACTACATACATTTGACTATCTAATAATATTTTAATAATAAGGGAAAACTGATAATTACTATGCCAAAAAATGCATTTTTCTAATGCATTCCATCTGATTTAACTGTCCCGGGACCGGGGTAAGATGACTGATGGTATGGGGTAATTTGACTAACATTATTAAAATGAAGATTAATGTATATTTTAAGGTACATCTTTGGCATAATAACAAAACTTTTATAAAAATGTATTTTAAACACAAACATATTTATTATAAAATAAAAAATGTATAACTTTGTACTAAATAACAATTTATCTAATCCGAATCGTTATCCGAATTACAGTTATAATAAACATAAGTTAGTTACCCTTTATGCATTTAGAGTGCCCACACACATGTTCACAAAATTATCCTGTTTGAGATTGAATTTATTGAGAGTGATTTGCTTTCTTTTTTTTCAATTTATTAAGAGAACAAAAATGCGTATTGTCTTCGGTACAACGTACAAAGGAAGTAAGCTAGTGCTGCCAACCGTCCGAATCTATCGACGCTTCGATCTATCGATTTCTCTAAATAATCAAAGCACTCGATTATCGTAACTCTTAACATCCCAGCCTCCTTGAAATATAAATTTCAATTAATACAATAGAGAGAAGAAAAAAAATCTTTCTTTTTTATCTAATACTTGACTTAACAGTCTTCAAGTAATAACAAATGTGCTTGACTAGTCTTCTCCTAGTTTAACTTTTAGAACTAACCTTTTGCGAATACACGACTTAATATACTAATACTAAAGCAAATTACGTAATATTAATGAGTAATGTGGAATGAATAAATTAATCACAGCTTAGTGTTCATAAGGTAAGGCACAAAGTTTTCTGACACTCCTTCAGAACTGTCCTTGTGCTGTTTTGACGTCTGCAACTCGAACAACGCCGTCTGCGCCTGGATAAATCTTCAAAACTCGACTTAAGACTCACTGTAGCGGAGGCTGGTTCTCATCCGACAATAAGACTATCGTCCCCACTTTTAAATTTTCTGCTTCTGAAGTCCATTTAGTTCGGCTCTGAAGATGATGAAGGTACTCTCTCTGCCATCTCTACCAAAAATGTTACTTCAGCTTCTGGACATGCTGCCATCTAGCCAAACGATTGTCTGAAATCTCGAGGTAATTTTTTGAAACAGGTTCTGATAGTGAAGTCCCAATCAGGAAGTGGGAAGGAGTAAGAATTGATATTTCGTTAGAGTCTGAGGGTACTGGCATGAGGGGACAAGAGTTTAAAACTGATTCTATTTCAACGAGCAGAGTATTGTATTCTTCGAATGTATAAGTCAATCCTTTTTTTACTGTGTACAAATGCCTTTTAACAGATCTTACTGCGGCCTCCCATAAACCACCAAAATGGGGTGATTTTGGAAGTAAAAATTTCCACTCGATCCTCTGGGCTGCTAATATTGTTTGCAATTCTGGGTTATGAATTTTCAGGAACGTATAGATATCTTCGAGTTCTCGTGCTGCTCCTATAAAATTTGTAGCGTTATCTGAATAAATAGTAGAACAAAGTCCTCTACGACTTATAAATCGCCGAAGTGCTGCTAAGAATGTTGCTGTAGTCAGATCGCTGACCAACTCTAAATGTACTGCTTTTGTTGTAAAGCAAGTAAACACGACAATATAACTTTTCGATATATGAATCCGTCCTCTTCTTCGACTTTCTCTGACCTGCAAAGGTCCTGCATAGTCAATCCCTGTGATTTTGAAGGGCTTACAGAATGTAATGACTCTAGATTCTGGTAGGTCCATTAAGTGTTCTTGTGCTTTAGGTTTGTACCGAAAGCACGGCACACAATCACGTGTTATTTTACGAACCTCTCGTGCTCCGGATTGAGGCCAGTATCTATTGCGTATGGAACTAAGAAGCTGCTGTGGACCGTAATGTAATAATTTAACGTGTTCTTCGCGGAGCAGTAGCGTCATTATATGATGTTTGGCAGGAAGGATGATGGGATGTTTTTGCTCCTCCGAAATTCTTGCTTGTTCAATCGCCCTCCTACTCTCAGGAGACTCACATTATCTATGAGTGGTTTGAGATTGATTAAAATGCTCCGTTTGTTGATTATTTTCCCGGCCCGCAAATTTTTAATCTCTTTCGGAAATTTCCTCTTGGGTCCATTGAAGTATTTTGTTCAGGGCTCTGTCGAGTTCCCCCACTGTCAGCGACCCTATTTCCGAGATTCCTTCCTTTCTGCAAAACGAAAACAATAAGCGACAACTCTTTGTAATTTCGTGATCGATGAGAATTTTTTTAAAAGGTCCGTCTGTTGGAAGGTCGAGTTTTTTTGCTTCGGATTGCTGAAGTGTCGCTCCCGTGAATAAGTTCTGCTTTGGAATCTCTGATGGAACTAATATATTTTGATCTGGCCAATTGCCTCTTGAAACGAGCCCTGGGAGCCCTCTCCACCAAAGATCTTGCGATAATAATTTCTCCAGTGAAATTCCTTTAAACAAGATGTCTGCGGGATTCTCTTTCGAGGGTACGTGTCTCCAACAGGACGTATCTGTTAATTCTTGTATCTCAACTACTCTGTTGGCTACAAAGGTTTGGAGGTTACTTGAAGATGTCTTGATCCAGCATAAAGTTATTATTGAGTCACTCCATAAATAAACCGATTCGATTTCGAATCTTTTGTGCTTTTTTAACAACAGAGATGAGCCTTGATAGCAGTAAAGCTGCAATGAGCTCCAATCTTGGTAACGTTAATGTTTTAAGAGGTGCCATTCTAGATTTAGAGCATAGATTTGATTGTATCTCATTGTTTTTGTCTCTGCTGAGCGCGTAAATGCAAGCTCTAAAATCTCTCCGAAGCATCGCAGAATCCATGTAATGATATGCTTTTGGAGGGGTTCCCTGGATTTGCGTTTCTTTTAACAACTAGATTCTTCAGTTGGTCGAGTGAGCTGTAAAATATTTCCCACGTCGACTTAAGATCGCTTGGAATTTCTTTGTCCCAATCAATGTTAAATTTCCAAAGTTGCTGCATGAGGAGCTTTGCGCTCATTATTACTGGGCCTATCATTCCCAACGCATCATATAGTTGTGCTATTGCAGATAGCATTTTTCTCTTTGTGACTATTGGAAGCTCAGGCAAATTGATTTCGTATTGAAAATAGTCTTTGTTGCTATTTCATAGAAGTATCAAAGTCTTGATGGATTCTTGATTATCGAGGATTAATAGCTCATCTTCCCCTCTTGCTTCTGTTAGAGATTCCAATATCGTTTGTTCTCCATTTGCGTAAAGGAAGTTGAGCGCTGTTTAACAATGTGGAAAGTTCTTTTTGCAATGTAACTGCTTCCTGTTTTGTTCTCGTTCCAGTTATTAGATCATCCATATAAAAATCATCTTTTAAAACTTCTGCTGTCTTTGAAGTAGTTGCGCTTCCCTGGCTTACTAATTCTCTTAAACATCTCATGGCTAAGAAAGGAGCACATGCTGTCCCATATGTTACCGTGTTGAGAGTATAAATCTTAACAGGTCGCTCCATGTTTGATCGCCATAAAATGCATTGTAATGTTCTGTCCTCTTTAGCCACATTGATTTGTCGAAACATTTGAGCTATATCGGCAGTTAAGACGTACTCGTGACATCTGAAATGCAATAAAATTTTCGAAGATGTCATTTTGTAGATTTGGACCAACTAATAATTTGTCGTTCAGCGACGCACCTGAAGAAGTCTTGGCTGAAGCATCAAAGACTACACGCAGTCCAGTTGTTATGCTTGTCTCTCGCACTACTGGCTGACGAGGTATGTAATATTGTTCTGTGTATTCTCTTTCACATAGCGGCATGTGGTCAGATGCTTCGTAACCTTCCATAAATAATTTTACATATTCTTGTTTTAATTCAGGTTGCTGCTTGAACCTTCTCTCAATGCTGCGAAGTCATTTCAATGCTCCGTCGAAAGAATCTCCTAACGTGACATCTTGTTTTTTCGATAATTCTACTTGAAACCTGCCTTGCTCATCTCGCCAGTGTGTCGATCTAAAATGCTCTTCACAGGGTTCGTCTTCTTTGCTTCTAATGTCGAACTCCTAACTCTTCTACTTTCCAGAATTTTTCGATTTTATTGTCCAACTCTTGCGATGTAATTAAGTGACACGTTATAACTCTTGATTGATTATTTCTAACCACTTGTTCGCCTCCTATCCATCCTAAACAGGTGTTCTGCAAGATGGGTTGATTGTGCCTTTGAATAGCTTCTCCCGGTTTCAGGATTCTCCAAAAAAGTCCCGTACCGATGAGAACATCGATGGAACCCAGTCTATCAAATTCTTGATCTGCTAAATTGATGTAATCAGGAATTGCTAACTTTGCTCTGTCTAAATGAACTTGTGGAATATGCTCAGTGATAACCGGAAGAATTAAGCATTCTAACTCGGCTGTAAAACCCGATGTTGTCGATGCTAATTTGATTTGTACTGACTTATTGATTGTAAGTTTTGACTTATTGACTTATATGGGTATCCTGATTTCCTTACATGGGATCCTCAATTTATTGGCTAGGGCCTTTGTTATCATATTGGATTGAGACTCTGGGTCTAATAAGGCTCTGCACTTATGTATGTTCCCATCAATGTCGTTTATGTAAACCTGCGCTGTTGAAAGGATTACTTGCATTGTCTGTCTCAGAATACAATGTGTTGTTATTTGACAATCTCCATCCTTTTCTTGATTCTGGCTTACTTCCTTTTGTAAGTGAGTTTCTTTCTCATGTACAAGAAATTGACTGTGATGAGCTGCTGAAACAATTCCTGCTTGGCCTGCTTCTTGATTCTTCCTCTCCGAGGTCTCCTTTCGATCTTGCTCTTTGTGTAACAAGGTGTTATGCTTGAGATTACACTTCTTGCATGAAAATGCCCAACATTTTTGACTCACGTGCCCTGTTTTAAGACAGTTATAACACAAATTCTTTTGTTTTATCTCCGTATATTTCTGTTGTGGGAATAATTTCAAAAACTTCTCACATTTAAAAATTGGATGAAAACCCGCGCAATGAGGGCATATTATTGCAGTTGCTGCTAACATTACTTTTTTGTCTGTTTTCTTTCCTATTGATGTTGACTCTGTTTGCGACTTGCCTTTATCTGTCATTTTGAGCATTACAACGCTTCTCGAGAAACGCCATTATTTCTTCCAACTCGGGCAACTGATCGGTTTGTTTCGGGCTAATTTCCATTTCCCATTCTTCTCTCATTGCACTATCAAATTTGTTCGTGATCAAGTATATGATAACGGCGTCCCAATGCTGTACTGGCAACTTTAAAGGTTGAAGCGATCGAATGTGGATCCGAACTTCGTCGACCAAATTCCTGAGGTTGGCATGATTTGACTTTGCAACAGGAGCTAACTCAAATAGTCCTTTTAGGTGCGTATTGATTATTAATCTCGTGTTTTCATATCGCTTTTTCATTAGCTCCCAAGTGATAGCATAGTTGGCATCCGAGGCTTCCAATGCTGCGATAACCTTAAGGGCTTTATCTTTTAATAAATCCTGAAGCAATTGGAATATTTGAATAGCAAGAAGATTTTTCTTATGGACTCTTTGTGTAAATGCATCTTTGAATGTGAGCTCTACTTGTCGTATTCCCCATGGAAAGGTTGAATCGTCAATGGTGGAAGTTTTAGTTTCACTATGTCTCCTCCCTGAATGCTTGTTGTTCTGCCTAATGCATAAAATTGTCTGTAGTTCTGTCTGTAATTGTTAAAATTAATCAGTTCGTTGAATATTGATTTCGTTTAATTTTTCTCTTACTACAGTTAAAGCTTCATAATATGTATATTTGCTCGTATTTTTCTCTGTTTAGCACATATTCCTCTATTGCCTTTTCGTCCTTTTCTTCACGCAGGGCGTATTCTATTTTTCGATGTACTTCTTCAAACTCTCGTCAAATAGTGGGTGCTCGTTCGTAAAGCTCTTGTAATTGTGAGAGTTCCCTCCGAGTTGATTTCGCATAGCTAAGAAAATTTGTTAGCTGTCTCTTTAATGTAGCTCGTCTGATATTTAATTTTTTATCTATGTTTTACTTATTTTATTTATTTTCTATGAGACAATGCGGTGAAATTAATCAAATTCAAACTTGAAATAGAGATCGAGGTTATACTTGCGTGGATTAGGATTATGATAGGGGGATTGGGGCTCACTAACCTAAGTATCGACTTGAATTCTTCGTCTGTTTGTCTTCTTTCGACGACTGTCTCTCTCTCTCTTTTCCTCTTGAACGATCCTGAATTTAGGCGAGATGTCTTGTGGAAGAAACCGATTGCGAGAGAACGGCCTGTTTCCTTCTTCCTGTGCTTCTATGATCCTTAAATTTATTATTTGGGATGCCTCCTCGTGGTTTGCTTGCTGTTGAGCCCGTCGCCCTTAACCTCCACTCGCCCGTCCATTATACTGTTTGATTTATGTTGACCGATATCCTTTCAATTTCAATCCCTGTATGCTCGTGTTGATTCACTGTTAATCCGGCTCGAAGGTCCAGTATGTTTGGGATTGAATTTAATGAGATTTATGCTTTCTTTTTCAATTTATTAAGAGAACAAAAATGCGTATTATCTTCGATACAACGTACAAAGGAAGAAAGCTAGTGCTACAACCATCCGAATCTATCTACGCTTCGATCTATCGATTTTTCTAAATAATCAAAGCACTCGATTATCGTAATTCTTAACATATCCTTTTAATTATTCTTAACATTTTCACATTACTATTACTATTTTTATTACACTTAAAAGTAATTTTACAAAAGAAAGAAAGACGTATGAACATACATGGATATGTTTCATACATAATTATATATGTTCATGAATATTTATACATGTGTATGTTCATTTATACATATAAATGTTCATAAACGTATATAATTTATCATGTCATGTATGTTTATACGTATTTATACATATTCATGCATGAAAAATTTC